TGCCTGCTCCCTTCCAACCTGCCAACAGGAATCTGCCTCCTGCTCCCACTGGCCCAGGGGCCTCCATCTTCGTGGGGTTAACAAGTATCTTTGTGGGCAGCCACCAGCCTGGTGAGATCTGGGCTATACTCAAAGGCCCCTTTCACCACCAGACACCTCCACCTCTGCCTCAGGCTCAATGAAGGATCCTGATTTTAGATGATCATATATTTCCGTTGGATTAAAAGCCCCCATTAAATTACAGTGTACTCTAAATTAACTTGAGATAACAGATTAAGCCAGGGCTATTAATAGCTTAACCCAGCTGGCAGAGGTAGGATAAAGAAATTAAAACGAGATGGGAGACACATGTAACAGCTCCAGGTGGGATGCTAGGGGGTGATGTGAGTGGGGCAGGGTCAACACAAGAGCACCCAGTTAAGAGGGCAACAAGCAGGTTGAGGTGAAGGAAGGAACCTCCAAATCCAACCATTTGCTTCTCAATGAAACCCAAAGTTGATTGTACCTTTTACTGGGAACACCATGTGGTGCCAGGACATTCCTGTGCTCTGCCCTGGTCTCAGCTACCACTCGGAGGCTCTAAGATGCTGGGGGAAGGGTGGGAGTGGGTGAGCAGGAGAGGATCCCATTAATAATAGGATTGACAAACTTATCTAAAAGGCCCCAGACTTGCTATAAGCTATTACAGGCAGTCAAGGGCTTCCAGATCATATTTCATTCCCTCGCAAATGGATCCCATCAAAACACTGTTCCGATTCTCCGGCCTCCTTCCAGTAACCACTGTTCACCTGGATCAAAAGCAAACTGGCTGCTTTGTCAGCTGAGAAGGGCCAGCAAGATACACTCTCCACCAAGCACAACACAACCCAGCCTGCAGCAGGCGGCTGGAGACTGCGGTCTGAGCGATGCTTCCAACTTCCCCTCTGCTTTCCCTTCCTCCACTCATTCCCCCACCTGCTTCCCAAACCTGCTCTGCCTGCTAATTCTCTCACCACCCGGTGCCTGTGGTGGGGACAGCGGACCAGCCTTTGGGAACCTCTTTGCAGCGGGCACTCCTGCAGTGCTAAGGCTGACCGGTTAAGCTCCACACACGTCAGGCCATCCATGAGGGGCGGCTGTGGCTGAGATGTTAGGGTCTAGTCATCAGCTGCACTAGTGTGCAGACTGGACAGAGGACGGGGGCAGGGCCCAGCCTTCTGCTCCACATCGGATCCAGGGCAGCCCACTTCCCTACCTTCCTGCTGGGGCCAGAGGCAGCAGCCCGTCGTCAGGGCCGGCCCTGTGGTTTTGTTCAGTCTTTCTGGAACTTTCCTCCAGCCCTCCCATGACTTGGGGAGCACCTAATTCCTCGCAGTCATTTCTGTCTGATTAAATGGCTTAACGTTTTCTGTTTTCTGAAGCTGAACCTTGCCTGATTTAGTACGCCCCTGTTTTTTATTTGTAGATTTAGCTACACTTTTCAGTTGGAAAATCAGCTGGTGTTCACTAACATTTCAAAACACTTGCCCGAAGAACGCCTGTGGAATGAGAACTGATGACGGCACTTGCTACAGCAGAGCTTCGATCTCACTTCTGAGACGCAACCAGTCATCCTTCTTAACGCTTTCAGCCCACTGCCCACATTTTAGGGTCTGAACCCACCGTGCCTCCAATGCTCTCTGAGCGCCTCCAGGGTGTGGAACCTTGGACAAGGTGCCCGAGAGAAACCTAAGGGCAGTAGCTTGCAAAGGTCTCTTCTTCTGAGAGGCCAGCACTCATTTCCAAAGTTAGAATTCAGACAATCCATTCCGAGTCTCCTTCACAGCCCAAGCACACAGCTGACCCATTCCTGTCATAGACTTTTAAACTCCAAACACAAATCAAGGTTGAGGAGGTGTGTTTTTATTTCTGGGAACGATACGGTTATTACTTGCCCTTTGGAAGCAAAGGCTGATTCATCAGTCACATACAGAGGTGATTATTTGGCTGATACAGGAAAAATCACTTGGGTTTTTATTCTGCCCGAGAATTCACACTTGGGCCATTTTCTCTTCCTCACTGCTTCATTATTCTCTATGGCTTTCATTTGGAAAATAACATTTAAAAATACTTTGAAATAGAGATATTTTTCCTTTTAAATATCAGGCTGACATGATCTCTTCTACCTACTTTATGCATGGGAGGAATTCATTTCAATGCCAAAGTTAGTTTAATGATATGGTCTGGTCTTTTGGGAGTGATCAGCTTTGGACATCTTTCTAAAATCATGCATTCTTCTAAAGGGGGTGCCTCCTTCTAGAAAATTACTACCCAGCTGAGCCACAGTTCCTGTCAAGAGTGTGTTGCATCTCTCAGTTGTTAGGGTGACTAACAGGTTGAAAATTATTGTAAAACACAGTGATTCCCAAGCCCCTTGGAGCTAAGAGGCTCTCTTGTACAGGTCCTAACAACTCCCAATCTATGAAAAAATTCTGAAAGAATCCAGGTCGCCATCAGTCCTGGGGCTAAGAGTTGCTTGTGGAGCACGTGTTTGTTTGCTCATTTATTTATTCATTTATTTTTACATGCAGGCTTTTCTGTTGGGACTCTAAAGTAATCAGCTTTGGAAAAATTCACAATTAAATCAATCTCCCAGGACTTTTGTTCCTACCATGTCAAGGAGCAGGTCCCTCTGGTGATTCCTAATCTGGCAGAAATAACTGGAAATTCTGGCCTGGCCTCAAGCTTCCCACACCCAGTAGGAAGATGGACATGTTTCCAAGTGAATGACCCGTTCCCTGCTGGGCTAAGAGATTCTTTTGCCAGGAGTGCCTTGGCATTGTTGGAAAATGAAAAGCTCAGAAAATGAATACACTGTTTAAAACTATGACTCTTCTCTTTTTCTACTTCATCTGTTGGTCCATTTTTTTCCTTGTGTGTTATCCATGCGAGAATTCTTGTGAGACCTGCCATGGAGCTTATTCAAGAGATTCAGAAATATAGAATATATATTATATTATGTGAGGACATCTGTTTAGTGTGGTGGGTATAGATGGAAGTCATATTGCATGGTGATTAAGGGAATGGGCTCTGAAGGTGGGCAGACAAATTACGTAACTGCTCCATACCTTGGTTTACCCATCTGGACAATGGGAATAATGAGAGTACCTAGCTGACTGATGATTTTGCAGATTCAGTTAGACAATACACACGGAAAGACTAGAATAGGGCCTGGCCTACAGGGTACAGTCAGTAAACGATAGCTACTTTTCATATGATTAGAATATAAAACACAGGAGGAGATATAGGAAGCAATTTCAATCTCAGAGTCAACAGTCTAAATTCTTAAAATTGTTCCCTAGATGATCACTTTTTCTTAAGGAAACATATTTGCTAATGTTTCTGAGATCACATGCATGCCTCAAAGAAATATGTAGTTTTGAAAAATCTATTAGTGCCTTCCTAAAGTAACCTGTGATTGGAATATTTATGCATGTTTGGGGGGGGGGGTGAGCAACCTCCTGTTAAAAATCATCTCTCTCCTCCTGGGTAATTTCCTAACACGGCATTCCAAAAGTATTGAGTACTTTAACTCATGGCACAGTGGTTAAAAAATCCTCAGTGTTCTCTTTTCAAAACTACTAGGGAAACCTCTGGCCTATTTCCTCAAACAGTAAAAAATTTTGTGCCTAGAATCTCACAAGAAACCTATAAATACTACTCTTGAGATAACTTAAGAGTCCTATCAAACCTCAGATATGCCCTCGCAGAAGAAAAAGCTCCCCAAACTACAAGCAGCCAGGAAGAATATTCACTGTTGGTAGGGAGCGATAACTGGAAAAGTCAAATGCCCAGTATTCAGCCACAGGCTGATTATTAAATTGATGACTGACTTTGGTATAAGAAATACGTTTACAAGGAGAAAAATTAATGTTGACTAATTTAATCTAGAGGGGAAAAATTATTTGCCGAAAGCATCTAGAATTTTATAAAACTAAACTATCAAACTGTCTTCTATTTAAAAAAAAGAAATAAAAGAAGGATATCCACACCAACACAAGCATCAAGTTTAAATGTAAGGAAGGTAATTAGAAATTCAAATTAGGTACAATGTCTCTGTTTTTGATTGGACCATTAAAACATCCCATTTTAAGCTTTTGTAGAAAACAATGACCAATCATAAGGGGGGAAAATCTTCTTGCCTTTAAATTAGCATGGTATATTGAAGAAATCAAGTGCCATTTTCAAATTACCACCTCAAAAATTATAACAAAACTTTATCCAGACATATCTGAATCATAGCTTTTGTTATAAATTTTTTTTTATTTGTAATAAGAGAAACATTTTAGGAGAATGGAAAAGAAACACTTTTCGTAGGACCTAAGAGTATATTCAAGACCATTTGAAATTCTGGGGCAGGGTGAAGCTTACTGAATATCTCAGCAGGGTATCGTTCAGGTGAGTGCAACTGGTGGGTGCAATGACATGTGACAGGATGCACACAGGCACCAAATAGTAACTAAGCATCTAGGGAAGTTTGATTGGGTTAACAGAATTTTTGCGGCTTGGAGACATCATTGCACACAGCATGTGCTTTATCACATGAAATCTCATTGTTTCCATGGCACATTGAGAGGTTATGAAATCAACAAATCCAACTCCTCAACATTGCTATGAATTAAAAGAAGCTTGTATTCAAATGAGTTCTAACCCATGGCCATGGTTCACACTAAGTTTCTAAGAACAGAGGGGGAAAAATTAAGGACATTCAGAATTGCTGTTGAGTTTAAGGTCAATAATGTACTATTCATAAATGATTGAATTTAGAAATCAAGATCCTTTTAGCAATCATTTGCTACTCTGGCCATTCCAAATAGTCTTACTTTGCAACATAGGTAATAAGGAAAAATAAAATAGAAAATATTTTACTGCATTTTAAAATTCCACAACTATATACTAATCTGAAACATATGGGATGCTCTATTCCTTTTGCTTTCAGAGAAAGAAAAGCTTATATTTACCTGGGCCCACCAGAGACTTACGTCATATCCACTGTTACGAATTCCACGCCGGGGTCGCTCCCGTGTCACCAGAAGGTCCATCTCTGTCTCCCCTGGACTTGGGCTATTCAGAGACTGCCGGCTTCGGTAGACAGAGTTCTTCGTCTGTTGCCTGTAGAAAATTTAACAACTGTTATGATGCAGCAAATGCCCTGACAGATGGAATTCTCCACTGATCCAAAATACAGGCAACCAATGAAGGGTTCAGTTGAATTTGCCTCACAAATCTCAGAATTGATGGTATTTGTTCCCCAGCCACCAGGGGCCATAGAAATAGTAGAATAAATAATTTTTTTCCAGATGCTGTAACCATTTGGCTGGATTGTAAATGCTCTTTCATATGGTATCTACAATCAATTGCAACACTGCAACCTCATCTAAAATACTGCTGATGGCAAGGCCAAGGGCTTTCCCTTGACCCTTTAAAACAGCTAACACTGGAAGAACAAACTTGCTTTTGTTGACTGTTGACTCAGCAGCCTCCTGTTCCTTTTAATCTTTCCGATTCTGCAGGCAAGGTTCCGTGATGTGTTAATAAACCTTGAGGCTAATGGGAAGCTTAATACTGCCACTTCGACAGATTCTCTTTTCTACCTTCACCACAGTGCTTTCCCCTCTGGGCTAAGGAGCTGTCCATCCATCCATCCATCCATCCATCCATCCATCCATCCATCCATCCAAATTTACTGAGTGCCTACTATGTTCCAATCACCGTGGAAGATGGTGATCCACAGTGAGCAGGACAGAGCTTACATTCTAGAGAGAGAGAGACAGGTGAACCACATGATAATTTCAGAGTGATAAGTGCTATTAAGAAAAACAAGGAGATGAGAAATACAGATTGGCAGTTACGGAATAGTTATGGGGGTGTAAAGTACAGCACAGGGACTGCAGTCAATGATATTGTAATAACTATGTATGCGGCCAGGTGGGTGCTGGAAATATCAGAGGAAACACTTTGTAAAGTATATGACTGTCTAACCTCTCTGCTGTGCACCTGAAACTAATACAAAAAAATATTGAACGTAAACTGGAATCGGAAAAAAAATTTAAAATGAAAATTTAAAAATTAGAAAAACTAATATCTGTTCATCCTGACTTCATTAAATATAAATACATGTGATATTTATATGTGTGTGTGTGTCTATTTAATCAACCATAAAGTATATTATTATTGGCAATAAAAGCTTTATATTAATGTAAAAACAAAACAAGGGGATGAGACGGGGGGTTATGAGGATGGAAGATGACTTTAGATGGGATGGTGGGTGAAGGCCTCTCAGGAGGGGCGACATTTCAGCAGGGACCTATTTAGAGGTAGCCGCACGCTCATCTGGGCACAAAGCGTTTCAGCCCCAGGGAGCAGCGTGTTCAGAGGCTCCACTCGGCTCCGCCCTTGGAAACGCACACATTTGCCACCACTGTCTTATTTCCACTTGTCATGAGAGAAATTTTTTTGAGGAAGGTGAAAAAACAGCAACGAATGAGGGTTGTGGCTTTGCTTTGCTTTTCCCACAGAAGGTAACTCTTAGAAGTGGGGAGTGAGGCCTAGTGGGGACAGATGACTTTCACATAATCCTGCAGAGTGACAAAAGTGAGACAAAGTCACTGGCTTTCTTCTCATCCAACAATGAGTTTCCCTCTGTAAATAACTTTGCATTTATCTATCTTCAGAGAACTCCCCAAATACCACCTATTTTGTGTCTTGGTTCTAACTTTCTACCCATTCACAGGTTGAAGGTGAAAAGGCTGCGTTATTTATTCCCAGTGGCTACGCGGGAAACCAGACCCTGGCAGGTATACACGCCTTTTCTGATCATACACGCAGTTAGTCAAAGCACGACAGTCACACCCTGTCCGTCTAGAACAGACATTAGAACTCCCAAGGCAAACCACTGCCCTCGGGATTAGCCTAGGGAATGAAAACGACACTAACAGACCTGCCCCCTCACCACGAGGAGCTTGCAGCCATTTAGAGAGCACCTGTGCTCTCTGCCTGGTACCCATATGCTGTTCTTTGTGGCACTCACCTCCTCCAGGGGTTGGCATGTGACTCAGGCAGTACAATCACAGCAACAGGTCCCCATGGCCACACTGACCGGTCAGAGGACCGGTACATGAGTTGGTCCAATGAGACCGAGTCCCAGGGCTTTTGCTAGAGCAACCAGGAAACAGGCATTCTCTTGGCACTGAGGTTTCTAAGAAGATAGGATGTAAGCCTAGAGGTGCTGGCAGCCAGTGTGCCACTAGGGGGTAAGAGCCTGCCTGAAAAGGAGCCAGCAAAGAGTGAAGAGATAGCAAGACAAATATGGGAAACACTGTATGATCCCTTGGATCTAGTCATGCCAGAAGCCTTGACCATTCAATTATGTTCAATAAGAAATTCTCTTTTATTTGACCTGTCTGTGCTGGATTCCCATCATTTGAAACCAAAAGAATCCTGACCCATACAAAAGCTTAAGCCCGACAATAATAAACGGTGCCCTAGAGTTATGCGCAATGACAGGCTTCCTTTAGGAACGGAGCACAACTCTGTAAAATAATCCTTTCTGAGTGATTTACACTTTAAGGGAGACCCCAAAGAACTCTCATCCTTGACCTAATTTCAAACCGTTTGGTTTTTTTAAAAAGTAGATTTCACAGCTGTTCTGAGACTGCCAGTTAGCCCATTTAGGAAAGATCTACAAATAAGGGTGGTGGAGGGTAAAACACTAGGGTTAGGAAAGTAGGTTATTTTGGAAGTATTAGAAATACAGCAGTGGAATTGTGGAAGCCCTTTCAAGAACCATGAATGTGGGCGGGAGCTTAGACGCTGGGGTGACCGTCAGCCCCCTTTTCCATCAAAGACAATGTTCCATTAGGACACACAGCTTACAGGCTGCTGTTGGCATGGATCTCGGCTGACCACACCATCAGTGTGCTTGGTGTGCATGAAACTACTTAGACGTAATTGGGCTGTCAGGTAGAGAGATTACTTACTTTAATCAGAGTTCCATGACGTGTAGTAATTTTTTGTTGGTATTTTGCTATATTCTTTAAAAGTTAATAAATTTAGAAACTTGCAAACTTGAGAAGTAAGTTTTTTTACCTCTGAAAATATCGCTGGGCAAGTAATGATAAATCTTGTTTGGATTTTTAGGGGCTTTTTAATCCCATTGTAGTTTAAGGAAGTCGTTCCCAAACTGTGTTCTGTGGAACCCTAGGGTTCCATAAAGAGGGATGGAAGCCATCTAGTCCTCCATCTAGGAAGGAGGAGGAGGGGGAGGAAGCCCTGCTTCCATCAGAGCAATTCTGTCTTTCTAAGCTATTGCTTTAGGTTGTGTTCTCCCAGAAGCAGGCTTTGTAATGATTTAAGTGCAAGCGGTTTATTTGGGAGAGGGTTCCAGGAAGCACAAGCTGGGAAGTGGGAAAATGAGAGGGGGAAGGGAAGGAGGCTAATAAAGGATATGATATAGAGTGAATTAGTGCTTTGGGCAACTGGGCCTCAAACTCACTGTTAAAGTGCGGGAGAAAGTTGTTTTAAAATGAAGGTTTTCTTTTATTCAGGTGTGGCAGCACCCACAGCTCAGGAGATGACTGCCACCAAAAAGACAGCTTGTAATACTCACAGATCCCAAGAAAAAGGGGCATGCCCTGCCACGGAGGGCCACATGGTGAAGCACCAGGGTCTGTCACAGGCAGAGAGAGTGAGGGGAAAATGTGCGCAAGAGCCTTTATTGTGGTTTGGTGAGAAGGAACAGACAGGGCAGGGTACGCAGGCTTAGGAGGCGGTCGTTTGAATAATCTCAGCAGACTCTGGGGCACAGGGCTGTTTCTAGTTGTCTGACACCTGGCTGAAGTGATTAGGGCAGGGAGATGGGGACCAGAGCGTGAGAGCCCTGTGTAAAGGGGACGGTAAGGCTCTGGCTTTTTGGTTTGTACATGAAAGGTGTACTTGCAGGTAAGCCCTTCACCTTTCTGAGAATTGGCTAGAGAACCTTGGGAGGGGTAGTTTCTTCAGGGTCAGCAAGGCCCCAAATATCACATCATCAGATACAGGAATTAGAAAGCGTGGTTGTTACAACAGTGTAGCTTATACCTCGGGGTTCTCTGTCCCATCTGTCATTGATGGAGGGTGTTCCAGGGCACATTAACCATCTGACACTTCTGGTCGGGGCTGCCAAGAAAAAGCCCTTAAGTCAGAGTCATAGGTGCTCACAAGAAAAAGGATGTATGGCCTGTATGGGCGCAGTGGGAGTCGAGGGGACCTATGGAATGGGGGTGGGGGTGGGGGCTGGCCTCTGACAGGGTCTGCTTCAGTTATATGACATACTTTTGGTCTCTGGGCCAAGAGTTTATAACATAAAAATGGAGTGTTCTTCTGACTATAAAGAAAAGCCTATAAAACCTCTCAAAAGATTTCAGGATGAGTCAACATTTGGAATCTGAACTTTGTCTTTTGATTTATTTAGGTCTCAGGGTAAAAGTCTGGTTACTGATGCTACTTCTGGACTAGAGAACAATCCCTTCACCTGTGCCTCATGGTGCTAGGCCACTGAGAGCAGAAGTTCTGGAGAGCTGAACCACAGATAGCAATGAACAGGTAACTAACCTGTGACAACAGATAACACACAGTAGGCAGCCTCTGGAGTTGACTGCAGAGTGGACAAGAATGACACCTCAGAGCTTCCTGAGTCTCTGTCACTCTCTTTTTCTCTGTTAAGCTTTCCCTCCCCACCCATCTCTTGCTATTTTCATCTCTATTCCTACTCTCACCTCAACTGATTTGTAGTCAAAAAATTTTTAACATCAGTTTTGGTGCTTTAGCGTCATTAAATCATTTCTTTAACATACGCTTACTGAGAAATCAACTGCACATTCACAGATCGGCAGGTCATCCAAGGGCCTTAAGAATCTGGCCTAAACCTATGCTAGACAATGGAGGTGCATCTCTACAGGAAAAACGTTTTGTTCATTCTCATCAAAAGCCTCAACTAGAAAGGAGTCCAAACTCAACACTACAGAAAGTTATTGCCATACAAAAGAAGAGATCAAGAGAATAAGACAGGAAAAGAGAAGAACTACAAAAACAGTCAGAAACAATTAATAAAATGGCAATAAGTACAAACGTATCAACAATTAAAATGTAAGTGGATTAATGCTCCCATCAAAAGATGAATAAAGAAGATTCGGTACATATATACAATGGAATATTACTTAGCCATAAAAAGAACAAGAGCTTACCATTTGTGACAGTGTGGATGGACCTGGAGGGTATTATGCTAAGTAAGATAAGTCAGACAGCGAAAGACAATACCATATGATTTCACTTATATGTGGAATCTAAAACACACAAAAAAATGAACACAGAAACAGACTCATGGATGCAGAGAACAAACTGATGGTTGCCAGAGGGGACAGGGTGTGGGGTCTGGGTGAAAAAGGTGAAAGGATGAAGAAGCACAAATTGGTAGTTACAGAATAGTCCCAGGGATATAAAGTACAGCATAGAAAATATAGTCAATAATATTGTAATAACTATGTATGGTGCCAGATGGGTACTAGGCTTATGGGGGGAATCACTTTGTAAGTTATATAAATAAATGTTTAACCACTATGCTGTATACTTGAAACTAAAATAATACTGAATGTCAACTGTAATTGAAAAATTTTTAAAAATTTTTTAAAAACCTCAACTGAAAATTTTATTTATTTCTCAAATAGCTTCCAAGTTAAGTTCCTCTTATTTACACACAATCTTTGATTCATTTTCTGAGTATGAGCAGGAAACCCAGAGAAAACAACTTCCCGTCCAGTCTATGAAAGGATGCTGAAGTAAAAAGTATCAAAGTGCAAAGTAAAAGCTAAAGAAGCTCTCAGCCTCCCCATAAAATCCATCTCTTTTCTTCTCTTCTTTTACAGTTATCAACATGGTGACACCGGCATTGTGATCCCTGTCACAGTGTGATTTCACATCAATAGCTTGTTTTCCCGCCAAGCCTGATTAGAAGCATGGTAAATAAAGTACTAGTTTAAAATCCCTCATTTCTTTTATTAAAAATAAATTGTCAATTCCATTCATAAAATTTAGCCCCGCCTCCCAGCTTGATTTTGTGGCTTCCATCCAAGCCTGCCAGAGGATCAGCTTTGCTTTTAATAAATACCCACTCTGGCAGGGAACTGTCCTGCCCCACCCAGTCTGTGGAGAGCGTATGTGCCAAGGCTGTGGGGCGGGCGGGGGCACTGGCATGCTATAAGCCAAGGGGCTGTCACCAAGGAGAATGTATTTCAAACAGATGGGCTGAGATCATGAAAAATGTTTCTGAAGAAGTGCTTCAGGGTGGGGAGGAAAGAAGAAAGGTGGACATGTGAAGCTTTGCTCAAACCTCTACTCCTTTACCCAGGAGGTGAGGTCACTCTCTGCTTAGCTGGCAACAAAGCCTGGAAGGGTGTTAATTCGAACCACGAGGCCTAACCTTCCCTCGGGAGGCTGGGTCCCGCCTACAGACTGTGATCGCACCTCACATCTCAAACTCCCACCTCACTTGTGGGTAATAAACGTTTGAGGTGGTTACCTTTCCCTCCCAATTCGGACCTTACACTCCGTAAGAGCCGCAATTCGGCTGTCGTATCTGCCATAAAATGTTGAATGAATGGGCGAGAAAAAGCAACATGACCGTGACAGTATTTAGCAGGGTGGCTAATACATAGTAGGTGACCATAAATGTCAAATACACGAACAAATCTATGAATTAAAGAGAAGAGCCCAGCGTGGAGCTCTGAGTAGCCATGTGGTAAATACTTACTGCAGCTGAATAAAAAGTGAGGCGCGAACTTTGCTTTTCTTATGCAAGGGCCTCAAAATAATTGAAAAGTACCATGTCCCTTGATCTGGAAGTTGCATAACCAAACAGGGGATAATTATATCTTCACCCAGCTCTGAAACAGCTACAGTTTGAAAATATCATTAAGCTAAAGGACAATTATGGTTGTTTGTCCAAGTATTTTTTTTTTTAATGGCTTTAATTTTATTCTCTCCCAGACTCATTATGAAGCATGTGCTTGCACAAAACAGCATGGTCTGGTTCAGCAGCCTTTAAAGATGACAGTCCTAAGCTAACAGATCAAGGGACCAGGACTGCATTGCCCAAGGCACTCTCTGTCCTCACCCCACCCATGGTACCGAGAATTAATTCCCTTACAGACCGCACCTGTTTTTAGACTCAGTGAATGGGGCGCATGGTTCTGGGTCTGGATCCAACACATGCTCGATTTCCTTTTGGGCTTTTTCGTACATCTTTTTTCTTTCTGTCTGAGCTTTGTTTGTCTCCACTGCAGGGAAATCGTAATACCCCTTCCTCTTGGCTTTGAGGCGCAGCTTGTTCCGATAGTGCTCGATGTCTGACTTCTGCTTCAGGGCTTTGTTCACCTGGGGAGAGAGAGAGTCTCAGGCCCACACCTGACCCTGCACAGGTGAGGCTTCCATCAGAAGGTCACAACTCCAGGAGAAGTTATCCTAGGGTTCAGGTCTGGGCCTGTGAGCCAGTCAGACCCAACTGCGATCCAGTCCAAGAACAGCCCACAACAGTGGGCCACAAACAACGTGGAGTCCGGCACTCACCTAAGTTGCCTGAGACCACTCTCCCATAAGAGATTTCCTGAATGGTTTTGAATACAGAACTTCTCCCCCTTCAATCATTGCATGGGCCAGTATTTATTGGAACAGATGTTCTGACATGGTTATCTTTGCTTATTCTCATTTTTAGAGTAGGTCAGGTAGCCTGGATGTCCTTAATATAGGGTTTTTTTCAACCTAGCCAGAGTGGGGAACGTTGGGTCCTCAGGTCGTATACTGCCGTGAAGTCATTTGGTCTGGCCCTGCCAAGGCAACTGCAGGCAGGACTTGAAAGTCAGTAGATCTAGAAGCTTTTTTCATAGCTAATTTTTAAGTTGATAATTTTGTATGGGCCATGAATGATGCTATAAATATCCAAATGGCCCTTGGCAGATAAAAGGTTCCCCCATTCCTGACATACTTCCTGATATGGTGCTCACAAAAGGGTACATCACTCCTGTGGTTATGCCAAAAAAAATGCATAACCTCAATCCAATCATAAGAAAACATCAGACAAACCCAAACTGGGAGACATTCTACATGATAAGTTGCCAGTACCCTTCAAAAGAGCAATAGTCATGAAACACAAAGAATGGTCACAAAGAAAGACTGAGGAACTGTCCCAGACTGGGGGAGACTAAGGAGACAACTAAATGCCACATGGGACCCTTGGCTGGATCGAGAAATGGAAAAGGGCATTAGTGGGAAAACCAGTGAAACTCAAATGAAGTCTGTAGATTAGTCAAGAGTATTGTACCAATGTCAACTTCCTGGGTTTGATAATTCTATGATTCTGTAAGATGTTAACATTAGGGTAGCCAGGTAAAAAGTGTATGGGAATTCTGTACTATTACTAAAATTCTTTTGTAAGTCTAAAATTATTTCAAAATAAAAAGTTTTTAAAAGTCGCACATCAAATGATTCACTGAAGTTTTGTTTATAATAACCAAAACCAAAACTAAAAACAAAAAATACCTAGAAGGTTTGAACAATGGGAGATGAGTTTTCCAATCTATGGCATATCTTCTCAAGTAAGTCATTAATAATGATCATCAGCAAGACCATGGCAACACAGCAAATGCCTAATATTCAAGATAGAAAGTTGTCATGGTATGATGAGATTCTAAAATATGAGTTTGATCAAAAGCTTGAAGAGAAGGTACAAAAATGAAAACAGGATATGTTAGGGTAGTGAAATTATAGTGATTTTTCTCTCTTGCTTTCTGAACTTTCTATGTTGTTATGTTTTTTAAAAAATAACCTTTAAAAGAATATCCTGTAATACATGAAAGAAAAATTTATGGGTTTGAGGCTGTGCTTTCTTCACTTAAACAAGCCACCAGAAGAAAAGAAGAAAAAAAATTATAAGACAGTTTGTCGTAAACTCTACAAGGCAGCAAATTACAGAGAAGAGTTCAGGGTTCTTTTCCAATCGTAATGCTGGTAAGATCCATTCCTTTAACTACCAAAATGTAACAGGTATCCATTTCTGGGCAGGGAAAATGCTCATTTCTTCTCCTTCTGTGACAGGGTGATGGGCTTGGCAGGAAAAGGGAGCAGTAAATTGAATTTAGTTGAGATTTGGAATCTGTCCCTGTGACATTTATATCACTAAGCTAGGATGAAATTTTTGATCCAGGCATGGTGGCCATTTCCTGGGTCCATAACTGGGGAGAGGGTCCTAATCAAGAGCAGTTACCAGAGCATTAGTGACAATCCCAGAGGCTCTAATTACTGGGCTTGCACTTCTCACAGAACTGTTCCTAAGGAAAGATTCAGTGGCTTTGAGAAAACATACAGGTTACTGAATTATAGAGCCAAGGGGCATAAAGTACATGATCAATGAATCCTCGCTCATTGGCTAATTGATGATGATGTTAATGAGCTTGTTGAGTGCTTGGCACTATTATAATGTTGTGATACTCACAACAGCCTCATTTTACAGATGGAGATACTGAGGCACAGAGAAATGAGCAAACCTGCCTAAGGTTACCGAGATAGTAAGGAGAAGAGTTGGGATCCCAATCTTTGCAGCGCGGCTTGAGAGTCCATACTCTTTTAAGCACAATGCTGTTTTTCATTGATAGGCCACAGATAGTCAAAGAGAGGGAAGGACCACTGGATAGGGAGCCAGGGGACCTGAACGTCATGGATATCACAATAACCTGCAGTATGACTTTGAGCAAAGGCTGCTTGACCCCTCTGGCTCCAGTTTCTTTAAGTAAGTATGTGTATGTGTATGTGTGCACATGTGTAATGTAAATGTTCACATGTAGGTTCTATATACATGTTCTTAAACATTCATTAACATCTTTAGCCCACTGACCATTCTGCTACAGAAGGTGGAGAAATGTCAGATATTTACCTAATTTCCTCTCCTTTAAACTGCCTCTCTCTCTCTATCTATCTGTCCATCCACCCATCCACCCATTTTTCTTTGTGAAATCATCATTCTTCATGTATATTACAATTTTTTTCACTCTTAGGAAAATTGATGACCACATGATTACCATAAATATCCTTCTGAAAGCAGGCAAAGGGTTGTTTCAAGCTTGCTCAAAGGAGTAAGTCACTTCAAAGCCCATATAGTGGGCCACATCCCTGTTCGAATGACAACATCTTCTCCAGTTCCCTCTTACTTTAAGCCCCTCGCATCCCCCCTACAACTGGCATCCATAATGAACAGTTTAGGAGTGTTATCAAGAAAGGTAGAAGACTGTCTGTGTGTTAAGGGGTGGAGAAGAATTCCTGATGTTTCTCTTTATAACTACAGTTTTTAAGTCTCCCCCTCTGGACTTTCTAATGAAGGTCAAAAAATGCTCTAAAACATCACCCAACAAACTTGTTCTGGGTGACTCGTGTCCTGATTCGTTCGCTGGGGCCTGTGCATGTCGAGGTGAAAATGACCGACGGAGCCCCATACACCTGGCCGCGCCTGCCCCTGGCGTTCCCGGGCGCTGCTCCTGGCCGCCCCGGTCTCTCCTGCTCGGGGGGCTCCGGGCTCACCTCACCGTTGAGCGCTGCGGCCTCCTGGCTCCGGTCCGGGGTGGGGTGCACCACGGGGAGGGCTGTGGGTTTTATTGCGATGAGCTGCACGGATCCAGAAGACGTGTCAAAGGGATCGGCGGCCGCCTTGCCAGAGTTGTCAAAAAGAACTGCTCCCTCCTCTTCATCACTCGCTGGCACTAAAGCACAAATGCACACAGTGGTCTTATGGCTGCAGGGGAGCCGCGTGATCAGGGGGGGATCATGGGGGGATTTATGCGAAACGCTCACAGCCCAAGGACATCGCATCACTCGAAATGGCCTCAGGAACAACAGCGTCTGGTTCTGTGCCAGGGGCGCGCTGCACCTCATGTATTTCTTTTAAATGTAAGATCTACACTATCCAGCCCTCCACTGCGCTATCCATGGGTAGGAAAGAATTTTAAAGGTTTGAGTTTAAATGGTAAAAACTGTTCTCTCAAACCTGCGACAAACACTTTAAAAAAAAAAAAAAGTAAAATTTTTTCCTCCAAGTTTGAGTCAGAGATGGAAAAAAATTGTAATTTGGCCAAACCTGGAACTATTCTTAAAATATGACAATCAACAGAGTAACAGCACTCAGTTAAGTTTCTGTCATCAAAGCTACCCATTTTTGCACAATGTTAAGGTGACAAGTCTTCCCTGGTCAACTAGCTACAATAATTACAGGTGACACTTTTTTTTCTTTCTAAAGGCTGCTTCTCAATGATTTGGGTTTTAGTTTCTTTCATTTATCAAAGGAAAGCTAAGATATAACCACCAGAGAAACTAATTTAAAACTACAGACAACTCCCCTAATTAAATAGAGCAATTTTCACCTACACTCTTTTAAATTAATTCTTGCCTCTGACAGATAACTACTGGGATCGCTGAAAGACACCAGCCTGCCGTGTGCTTTCAGAACTAAGCTGACAGAAGAAGTTCCAGGGCAGGTGGTACCTTGCTGATTTACTTGTCCTTAAAGCATTTTCCCATTAAGCAACTATAAGAATGACAGTTTATTGAGCACAGCTCCGCGAGAGATAAATTAAGCCTGTTCAAACAACTAAACCAGTAGGCAATTTAGGAGCAAAATAGGTGTTATTAAAATATGAATGTAATAGAAGTGCATTTATCTTTCCTCCTGTCTGCCTAAGAGATTGGAATGTTATTTAAATTATTGAAAAACACATAGTTTGTATCATTCTGTCACTTATCATAATCACAGAGATTTGTCAAATTAAGCCAAAGTAAATTGTTATTTCACAATGTGGCTAAAACACCTCAGAGTCTAACAATGGCTATAATTGGAGTATTTTTTGGTTCTGTGGGCTTATTTGCAAATAGCAGGCCACCAAGCAGCCAATGACAGAGGACATTCTCTATTCAGACATGTTACCAAATGTATATATCTTTTTACAGTGGAGTTTTGCTAGGCAACTCTTGCCTAGCCACCGTTATCTCCCACCTGGATACCTGCTATGAAAGCCATCTATGGTAGCCAGCCTCCCAGATGGCGCCCAGTAACTCTCACCTCCTCATAGTCAGAGACACAATAAATAGGACTGACCTGTGAAATCAAAAGGAAATTGCAGAAATGACAGTGTGTTACTTCCACAGCTAGGTCATTTAAAAACATTGTGGCTTTCACCTTGTTCTCTCTTGGGTCCCTTACTCTGGGAAAAGCCATGCTGTGAGGATGCTCAAGCAGCCCTATGGAGAGGTAGCCTCATGTGGCAAGATACTGAGACTCCTGCCAGCAGCTATGAATGAGCCATCTTATAAGTGGCTTCTGCAGGCCCAGCCAAGCCTTTAGATGACTACGGCCCAGACTGTGACCTCATGAAATTCTGAGTCAAAACCATCCAGCTAAGCCACTCCTGAATTTCTGACCCACAGACATTACATAACACGATAAATGTAGATTATTGCTTTAGGTGGCTAGGTGTTGGGGTAATTTGTTATGCAGCAATAAGTAACTAATACACCTTCTAAACAACCCCCCTCTTCCAAGCTTCCACTCTTCTACTCTTGTCCTCCTACCCTTAAAATACATACTCTACCAGCAGCCAGGATGGATCATCTTTTTGAAAGGCAACCAGATCACAGTACTTCGATCAGAACACTCTGAAGGCTTCATGTCTCTCAGGATAAAACCCAGAGTCTTTGGTGTGGCCACCAAGGTTCCACAGGACCTGGTCCTGGCCACTTGCCCAGCTTGTTCCTGCCTCCCTCCCTCATCTGCTCTCCAGCTACAACAGCCTTCTCAAACACAGCAGGTTTGCTCCCACCTCTGGGATTTTGCATTAGCTGTTCCCTCTGCTCAGAAAGCTCTTTCCCCAGATCTTTACATGCCTAATTCCTTCTTAGTTTTCAAGGTGCAGCTTGATAGACTTTCCTTGGCCATCAGTCTAAAATAACCTGCCTGATCACCCTGTTATATTTTTTTCATAGCATTTAGTACTATTGATTTGTGTACTGACTTAACTTGCTCCACCCCTGCCACTAGAATGTAAGCTCCGCTCTTGCCCATCTTTTGAAAGGCAATACCTATTGCCTTTAATAATCTCATAGACAGCTGGCTTTCAATAAGGATTTGCTGAATAAATGATGAGTAAAGGAATGACTAAAATTTCCTGACTCGGAAGGGATATGTTAGTACCTAGGGAACAGGTAAACATGTGAAGGATGCTACTTAACATTTATACTGTTTCTGGGTTGTGACAGCCTCACTCCCCACCGCCCCATGGACAGGATAAGGGGAGGAGGGGAGGAGCATCACTCCAAGGAGACAGAAAAAAGGTGTCCCAGAAACTGTACAAACTACAGTTTTTTCATTCTCACTCTCAAAATGGCCATATTCAGATTTGCACAACAATTCCTCTAGGTTTAAGAGAAAAATAATTAGTTCTTTTCCCTGCAAAAAAGACTATATGGGAAAATACATTAAAGAACATTACATTAAATATTAATACTAAAATGCTATGTGAGTACAACAGGTTCAGGGGAATATTTAATGCATAATTAGTCCCTAAAGAAAAAGTAGGAGAGATTGCTAAACGAAAGGGCCACAGTTAAACTGTAGAAATGTCCTATATACCACCACCACCGGAGTAAATACCGTCAACATAGTAAATGCCACCATCTGGATCTGCTTGTGTCGTTGTTAGTTTGAACTTCTGCAAATCAGGCAGGAAGGGAGATTTTATTTCTTCCTGTTTCAATTGGCATGGGGAGGAGGAGAGGGAGCCCTCCCATTTAAGGCAGAAAATGCTGTTAAACAAAAGCATGTTTTCTTCCTGGAATTTCCATTAAAGCTCAGAGACAACATATAGCTAGCATCACTGCCCTCTGGTTTTGTTTATCATATGATAGGCAGGTCTTCGCCTCACTGGGAAGGCAAAGAAAGAATTAAAACTGAAACTGTTTTTGAACTAATATCTCTGACACATCCTCAAGGGCCTCTGCTAAAAAAGGAGTAATTTGTATTCTAAACTCTCAGATTCTTGTCCTCTCCGGGCCCGTGTGTCCCGTGACTATTAGGAGGCAGGGTCTGATTGGATTCTGAGCCTTGGCAATGAAATCTCTCAGTGAAGCAAGGTGCACACTTAAGGGTTTATGGAAGTTTTTGCTCTTAAATGACTGAAGATTTAAATACATATGGTATGTTCTCACCTGGAACTCATTTTTAAGTCTTTCCCGGAAAACACTTTTTTCCAATGTGATACTGGTTTTAATTCAGAAGTTGAAGTGTCTGGATTTGGTTGAAAAAATTCCAAATTCTTTTGCTTCCAAAATCCTAGCTCTCACCTCTATCTTTCCCACTTATATTTAAACATCATCCTGAAATAGACTCTAAGGTAGTCTTGTAGCCACGGTAGCTCATGAAGCCATCGAGTTACAAGGACCCACCCAGCCCTTTTGCTAGCGGGGCAGTGTGTTTCCGTTTTAAAGTTCTTGTTTTCACAAAAGGGGAAAACCAGAAGCTACAAATGCAACAAAACTGGTGGGAAACAAGAACAGTTTTAGAATGATAGCCGGGTACATTACCATTTGTTGATTAACCTTAGAACTCTAACTTTTGGAATGGATACTGAGCTGTAAAACAACATCTGAATATTCCATACCAAGAGAATAGTTTGTTCTCAGAGGCCACAGTCACACAATAAAATGCCATTTGCAAGCAACAATTATGATACCTTTCTGTTTTCTTCCCAATTCCATTCACTCTTCCCACCCTGCCTCCCTGCCTCCCTCCCTGCCTCCCTCCCTCCTCTCCCTGCCTTAGGTTCATCTTCCAACCCAATAAAACACACTACTACTGAATTTTTTGGTGAACTCTAACCTAGCATTATGATAAAGTGGAGCCCTTAAATGAAAAGGACAAGTGTAGGTTCCACTGAAGGTCCATCCTAGAATTCTGATGTGCTTCAGTGTCTGTTGACATTAAATGAGTTGGTTCTATCATTTCAAATTTCAAACTGAAACCTCATTGAACGGGAGCTAGTGGTGAAACAAAAGCCACCAACCCTGACAATTCAGTGGCAAAAAGACGATGCAGCGAAGCACTGGGAACCTGGAGAAAGGATGGCTTTTGAATAAAACAAACGCATTAAAACCTTAACCTGTTACAGTAATTGCATTTTGTTAGCACAGCTCACTGGTGTTATTTCTGAACCCGGTATTTAAATAACCCGAGTGGCCTAAACAGAATAAGGAGGCAGGCAGAGAGGAGGAGGGAAAGGGGAGAATGGGAAGGTCAGCAGGGACCCTTAGGGCAGGTCCGGGTCTCACCAGCCAGCCTGGGAGTGATGGGGTCTGAAACTGGCCCTGCTCCCTCCCGGTCTATGAATTAAATGCAGGGGAGGGGGAAAGGTATCATCTTCTAACTGTGGATTTACTGACAGAGGAGTCTGTATACAGCACATTCTTATGCAAGAAAAAGGTCACAGAACAGTATGTACATCGATTCCATTTTATAAAACAAAACAAAGCTATACAACAAAAAACAAAGACATGAGTGTGTTGTCATACGCATAGTAAAAAGGTCGGAGGAAAACACACTAGGTTATTCAAGGTCATCTGGGGACTGGGGTGGGTGATGGGG